AAAATGTTCTGTTAAATGTTCTGTTAAATGTTCTGTTAAATGTTCTGTAAAATGTTCTGTTAAATGTTCTGAAAAATGTTCTGTTAAATGTTCTAAAAAATGTTCTGGAACATGTTCTGTAAAGAAGAAAAATGTTCTCCTTACACCGCCTCAGCTTCTATTTATCAGTCAAAAACTGAGTTCAAATTACTTAAACTGCTAAAACTTTAGTTATTTAGAACGAAAATAAGTAAAAATATTTTTTTAATATTTGAAACAGCTTCCATGCAAAGATATCAACAATTACCAGATATCAACAATTGACATGCCACTTTATAAATGTGGAGATACTAGAAATTATGTATACCCCTTTTATAGTTAGACAAAGAAGAGTTACAACTGTAACCAGGTTCAAAAAGCAAAGTTTAAACCGTAATAAAGGAATTGAGTTTTTCCCACAAATTCTATTTTTCTTATCCCAATAGCTCTACAACCTGATGGTGTAAACCTTTGATTTTTCAAACTTTGATTATTTGATCTAAAAGAATTCACAGTTGAAATATCTAAGGTCTACGACATTGGGTTTCAAAGATCATAAATCTGAATTTGTGGCAAAAACTCAATTCCTTTGACTAGAACAGAGTTTAAACTACTCAGTACTCAAGCTTGATCAAAATAAAGAGTTAAAAATCAGTTATATTGTTTTATCCACATGATTAAACTAATTTAGATACTCTACTCAGTTATATTGTTTTATCCACATGATTAAACTAATTTAGATACTCTACTCAGTTATATTGTTTTACCCACATGATTAAACTAATTTAGATACTCTACTCAGGACACGGAAGGGTTACGTCTCGGGATTCGAAGGTTAACAATATTTATCAGTACGCTTTTTCTTGTCATTATGTTCTCTAAAATAATTCTAGTTTGAAGATAATGATAAATGATGATGAAGATGTATCTTTGAATTCTTGTATTACCGTATCCACGTAAAAATATGTTCCTGTATCCCTGAAATCTGCATCCTTGAATCATTGTATGCCTGTATCACACTTTACTGTGTCCTTTTGTCACTGTATCTCTTTTTCCTTGTATCTCTTTATCCCTAGCTGAATTCCGGTGTATCCATGTATTCCTGTTTCTCTTTATGTATTTATATATGTATCCTTGTATTTATGTATCTCTGTATCCCTGTATCTATTTATCTCTGCAAACATGTATCTCTGTATCCCTGTATCCATGTAACCCTAAATCTATTAATTTCTGTATCCTTGTATCCCTGTAATCCGAATCCCTGTATCCATGTATCTATGTATCCCTGTACCACTGTATCTCTGTGTCCCAACCGCTCTGTATCCCCGTATCCATATTTCCATGCATCCCTCCATCTATCTATTTCTGTATTAGGTCTGTGAAGGCGATAAATAATGCTATAGGGAAACAAATGTCTAACTATTATACAGGTAAATACAAAAATAGAATGTGTTTAAACCTTTCATATGAATTAAAGATATTAGAATACTCTAGATAGGACAGTAGATCAATATTACACAATACAACGATATTAAAAAACTCTAAAGGGGACAGTGGATCAATATTACACAATACAACGATATTAAAAAACTCTACATAGGACAGTGGATCAATATTACACAAACCAAAGATATTAGAATATACTAGATGGGACAGTAGATCAATATTACATAAACCAAAGATATTAGAATATACTAGATGGGACAGTAGATCAATATTACACAAACCAAAGATATTAAGTTTTCAAAAGAAAATTTATTGTCCAGGCAAAGCTGGATTCCCAAGCTAGTATACAAATAAACTGTTTAAGTATAGGTTTAAAATCAGTTCTGGTAGATTTGGAGAAGAATGTTCTAGAAACATCATTATCTCAACTTAGGAAAAAAAACAAATCGTTTTCAATTTGTTTCAAAATATCATTTTAGTAATTTAAAGTAATTGCGTCTTTGCCACATATTTTGATTTCTAATCCTTTTGCCTTTGAAACCCAATGTCGAAGAGCTTAGATTTTTTAAACTATGAAATTCTGTTGGATCAAATAATCTAAGTTTGAAAACTAGAAGGTTTACGCCATTAGGTTGCAAAGATATGGGGCTAGAAAATTAAAGTTTAAACTTTATCTAAACATAGTAGTATTATTCTAATCCATACAATTAATACAATTAAATTAATGTAAACAGTATTAATGTAAATATTTATAAAAAGTTGTTAATTTTGAAAAATTAGTAAGTTCAGATTAGTTCTAAACCTTCCATTTGGCTCCGGGACTAATTCAGAATTTTCAGAAGCTTTTAAACTTTGTTTAATTTTGATGAAATATCACATAACACGCGAATACAACCTTAAAGGGACTGTCAACGTAAATCTAAGTAACCTGTCTTTTACAGTTATCTTTTAACCCTACATTCTGCAGAATAAAAATGTAAAATCTGAAAATTTGAATTTTTAATTTGTAGATTTCCTTTAATTGTGACTCGCGGATTACTGCACCTGAGGCGTAGTTTATGTTGGCAATGTGTGACAATCATGGTTATAGGATGAAGTATCTAATTTGTATGTTTAGCAACACAGATATATCCAATATTTGTTATTTTAACCCCAAACTGATATGTTGTTTGTTTACTAACCTGCAGTACGGTAGTGATACAACCACAGGAATCCAATAAACAACCAGGATCAAGGTTAGTCATATATCCCAGAGATCCAGGCTGATAGGAAAAGCTGCATTAATTTTCAAATGACCTTTGATTTACTAACATAATTATTTTTTTAGCCCTAGACTTATACATTGTAAAACTTTAAAGCACTTGTATTTAGATTTAATTTTTAAAAAAGTAATTGACTATATTTTTTATCGTTTTTTAAGCAAGAGCTTGCAACCTTTCAATCGCTGTAACATAAATCCGTAAATGTGTTAAATGTTATAAATCCTTATCCCCTGAAAATCCTGATTCATTTAAAATATATTAAACCGACTTTTAGGCAGCTGGGGCAGTTTGTACTGTTATACTGCTATAGACGGAAAAACGAGAAAGTACAACCAATAAGTGAAATATAATGTGTTATATCTTTGCAACCTGATGTTGTATTTTTGAAAAAATTCTCAAAGTTTGAAATATTGAAGAAATACACCCAGCTGTGTAGTAATTTTACACTGTCTCCGTGCATTCATCAGGATTTGTTTTTTCAAGTGGAAAAAAGTTGTGTAATATGTATAAGCATTCCAAGATGTAAAAAAGTTAAACCCCGATTTAACTGAATTAAATCTTTCAATTCTGGTCAATTGAAGGGAGTGTTCGCGAAAAATGAAAGGGGGTATAGGCTTAAGACGATAAATAATCGCTTCTGATCGCTAATAATCTTACTTCTATCTGTTTCGTCTATATGGAGAAAACTGTTAAAAAATAGTTTATATTTCATAATATTTCTTATTTTCTGTTTTTTTAAATTAATGTTTCACTTACAACTTGTTTTCACGACTGGCGCATTCCCTGAAAATATGAAAATTGTCGTCTTCATTATCAAAATCCTCGAAACAGGAATAATGTCTTTAAAAGTCACTCTCAGGTCATAGAAAGTAAAAAATGTTATGAAATATTAACTATATACGAATGCGTCGATGACTTTAAGTTGTAATATCTGAATGCTTTGTTTGGAATTAAATTGATTTTGTTACGATCCGAGTCGTATGTTGCACCTTTCTGAATTTGTAACAATGGTTTTTAGCAATTTTCTCAGTATAGACGCAACAGACAGAAGAAAGATTAGTAGCGATCAAAAGCGAATATTTATCGCTTCATTTTTCGCTAACACTCCCTTTAAATACGTATAACCACAACCTAAAATTTACAAAAAAAAGAAGAATATTAGGTAAACTCTGAACATCAAATTCCTAATGTGCAAAAATAATGTGGAGTTCTACACATTTCATTTTGTTTAGAAAGGCATTTCTTGGTCAACTGTATGCAGAAGTAGAATATCTTTCAAACCTTCAACTTGGAGCAAAAGGTGCAGGTCTTTCCAAGAAGAAAGGGAGCAGTTCTGGAGACAACAAGCCCCTGTTTATAAATAAATAATAAAAAAATTTTAAGAAATAACATGGTTTTACAAATTTGATTCAGAGTACAGTACATGTGTACATGTAATAAATATATTTTGTTTGAATAAATTGCTTAAAAGATACTTAATTCAGTTTCTCTTGAATATTAATCTTTTGTTAAAAAAAAATGTTGATGAAAACTAGAATGTACTAAATAAAGAGAATGTTATTATATATCCATTATTATTAGGTAAATTTTATTTGTATAATCAAGATAATAATATATTATATATCTTTATATTTATTTATTTCAATAAATTATAGAACTAAGAATAATTAATCGTTAAATGCTCAATTATGTTTTAACATTTCAGTATTCATTTAAAGAATTATGTTTAATGTTGGAAATTATTTTTAATAAAGATTATTTGAAAACATGAATCATCAAAAAATTACTTTTTTGTTTATTTCAGTTTGAATCATGAAAAAAGATTCATTAAGATTTATCAGTTGATCCTTGTAATTATCTAATATAATATTTGATTCCCTTAAAAAATTTATTTTATTACAGTTGTATCTAAATAAATTTTTTTTTTTAATCCAATAGATATTTTTAAAAACACTTTTATGTACATTTGAGATCGAAAAAAGTAAATCATTTTTCATTTTTCATTTTTACAATTTGTATTGGTATGACTTTTTTGAATTCTCTTTAAAAACACATATTTCAAGTGTTTTAGATATAATGATTTTTATTACAAACATTTTTGTTGACTTTAATGAGTAAATTTGAATATATTCCTAATTCCACGATTGCCTCAATTACGGAAGTTATCCTCATCAGAAAATGTTTATTTACATATTTGTCGTCTTCTGTTAAACCGATCTGTAGGAAACCTCTCCAACTTCTCGTGATTATCCAGAACCAGATATTTCCAGATTCTAGGACCCGATCCAAATCTTGCCTCACTCATCATCTAGTGTCTAGTGGCGTAGGACTCCACCATATCACATTAACTGTGGTTGTAAATGTAAATTTAACAGATATATATAAAGATAAATAAAACTTGAGATTAACAAAAAAAAAGATATTTGAAACTCTTTATATTTGTAGAAAAAAATGTATTAATCCATTCATAAATAAACATTTTGACCAATAATTTCTAGAGGCCAGTCTCGAGTTAAGGTTCAAGAAACTTTGAGTATAATTGCAAATGGATTTTTTTGGACATTTGTTGTTTTTCCCTTGTTTGGTGTTCATTGAAAAGTATAAGATACCAAGGTCATACTACTCCAGTGCTGGCAACTAAATAAACTAACACTCGAGCCCTTCAGTGCAAGATCAGAGAGAATTAGATTTGCTGGATAAGAATTAGATATAAAGAATTTTACTCATTTATTCCAATTAAAAGTTTGTAGCAATACAGCTTTATAGAATGACGTTATATTTTATTATCTCCAGGGTGTCCCAATAAATAATATGTATGCCACAATCACATTCTTTTAATTGAAGGATCGATAAAAATAATCAAGAACTCGACGACCTCGAAATTGTAATTCTCGATTAGATTGTGTTTTTTTTGGGATACCCCATAGGAATACACATTACTTTAGAAGGACTGAGGAAAGTTCTTTAATGTACAAGTTCTTGAAAATTAATAGAAAAAACCATTATTATATTAAAGACCAAAAATGTTCTTTGTTAGTTTTCAATGCAAATTAATTCGAAATAAAAAAGTAAAAAAACTTTAAAAAACCTATGTATGTTAATTTGTTAATTAGCTTTATCTAAAAGAGTTCTTTATTAATATAATTATTTTTTGTATTCTCGAGTGGAAATTAACATCAGTAAAAAAATTAGATTCAAGCTTTGAACTTCTGAAAACTTTAAAATGTGCTCCTCCTCAAGAAAGGCTTCCAATTTTTCCGGCAAAGAAATTTTTAAAGAACTTTAAACAATAGTTTGTTGAAAATTTGGATTAAATAATATCTTAATTAAATAAATAACAAACATATCAAAAAATACTCTGACGGAGATAAACAAAATGTGGCAAATTCGTGGCAGAGAACATCTATAAATGTGGCAAAAAGGGAAAACCTGGAACGTCCGTGTTAAAGCCTCAGTCAGTCGCATATATAACTTTCAACCCTAACTCAGATATGAACCTTACAGAGCAAAACGTCGAGAAACTGGAAGGTTTGGGAGCAGAACGGATGGAGCTAAGAGAAGAAGAAAAGCGGTGTTCAGAATCCTACCTGGAACAGAAATCTGAATACTCCGACTCCTCCTCGTCTCCGACCTATATAAACTCTGTAGATTCTCCCAACTCTATCCCCCTCTCGGAGCCAAGACTAGACGCAATGGAGGCGTATTACGCCAGCTCTTCTCTGCAGTACAGAGAAGAACCTCCTATGTACAGTCCGTACCAACAACCTACCATGGAACAACAATATAATCAATTAGTTTACCAAACAAATTATCCACAGTATATTCAAGGTAAAATTTAAAACAAGTCAATAGATATTCTTTTAGTAAAATTCATTCCAATTTATCAACAAAAAACTTTTACATTCGTGCTTTAATCTTCATATGTTATAACTTAAGAGTTATGAAAGTAAATTGCAAATAATCCGTTGTTAAATGTCGTCTTCGAAATTTCCAATTTCTTTACCGTAAATGCTGTAACTATTGAAAGGGGTCGTTTAATTTAGGGTAATTGTTAAAAAATTGGGTTTTAAGCATATTTTAAAAGGGGAAAAAATATTTCTAGTATAGTGTATAGTGTACACATCTTCGAATACATTTCAACTTTATGTGTTCTATTTTGAATTTGTTAAATGTTACAGGATTGCCTACCTACCCTCAGTACTATACACCCAACCCTACCCAGCCCACCTACCAGCCTAGCTACCACACTAGTCAACAACAACAACAATATCTAAACCAGTTTTGTCAATACTGCTTTGGTAAGTTATTTTCATTGTTATTTTTGTAAAACAAAAATGTTTCTAATTTTTAATACATAAAAATAACAATTTTACCGCGGACATTTACCTTGCTTGAAAAGTATAAAATCTAAAACAAAGTAACATAATTTTTTGAGGAACAATAAAAAGAAAGGTAAACAGGTTGCAACTCAAAGCCTGATTCAATATTTATTATTCTGATTCTTCATCTATATATCTATATACAGGGTGTCCCACGAAACATAACAGTTGGTGAACAGTTTTGAATGTCTTCTTTCATATACTATATTAGATATTAAAGACTTATTGCGGTTTATTTAGTTTGAATAAAAACTTTACTCATATATATTTTAAATATATTTTACTTAGAAATCAATTTTTCTATAATATAGATGCCATAAAATATGTATTATTATTCTCTTTGGTAACAAACAACTTGACATATTGTGGAAGAAGACATTTTAAACTATTCACCAACTGTCAAGTTTGGTTTGGAGGGACATCCTGTATCTATATATCTATATATCTATACTATGACCTGATATATGATCTTGTTTCAGGATATCCAACCCTGGAGAATTGTCCTCTATGCTTAAACTAGCGTGAAAAATTCTCATCAAACCAACCCCAAATATACCTTCAGAGTTAGTCTGATACGCCTTTCAGTTTCATCATCTCTAATACACAAACAAAATTAATAATTTTATCATAAAGTTTCTTGTTAAAGGGATTTTAAGTGACCTAATTCCTTTAAGATTTACAAAATTATCCTTAAAACCTTTACCTGGCCAATAATGTGGAAGATCGTTGTCTGTCTAGCATTAATTACATTGTGTCTGCAAGTCGTTTTTTAACAGACAGAAACCAAAATTGAAAATGATCAAATTTCAAAAAGATTGTCATGTAAAGTTCATTCATTATTGATCAGACATAGCTTTTATAACTGAATGATCACTTGAAATTACGTTTTCAGTCTCTTTAAACATTTCTTGCATAAAAGCAGGTTAATAAACCCTTCTGAAATTACCTTAACATTTATTTTTAAAATTTCAAATGAAAATCCATTTTTAAGTTTAATTCATAATATATTTTGTGACTTTACCACCACTTATGCAATGTTTTTTTTTTCTCTGTCGTTACTTTACCATTAAAAATTATTTTAAGTGATTTCTGTCGAAATTTTCAAATAAACTTATTTTTACATTTTTGTAAATATATGTTTCATAAAGCAACCTCTTGGTTGTTTGAATGATTTGCCTATTTAACTAGATTTAATTTGCAAAAATCTTATTTTGTGCCTTATCAAAAAACTTACAATTGCAAATTTGCTGATTAACATTTCACCTTTTTTATTTAAATCATTTTTTGTGAAAACCCTTCGTCAGTATTTTGTGGAATACTGCATTTCTTTTTTTTAATAATGTGATATTATTACCTTCTTAATAAAAATAGAAAACTTAAGGAAAATTGTCTAAATTCAGAGAGATTTTAAGGGAAGTTCTTAAAATTAATAAAAATCTAAATCTATAATCAAAATGAAACCAAAATTGTCTAAATCTGAACAAGATTGTTCTCATCTTCAGTAATTTGTATGTAAAAAGGAAGACTGTATTTTTAAAATGTCAGTTAACAGAGTTAACATGGATATGTTGTGATTATCTTAGAACTAAGTTTCGTGAGACATCATGTAGCTTAGTGAATAGTGTAGCATATGCAGTATACTCATAACTTGCATTTTATCTGATCAACTAATCTGAAAAATTAGTACAAATCCTAATAAAAATATTAACTGAAGTAAAAACAAATTGAGGAGTGGACACCGGTATCTCTCAAAGAGCGGACTCTACCTATAAAGTTTTAACCATGTTAACACAAAGTTAAACATAAAAAGCAATGTTAAAACATTAAAAATTATAATTAAATATATTAATACGCATTTAGTTCTTAAATGTCGTCTTCCTTGAAATCATCAAATAATTGATATTCACTCGAGACAAAGATAATGTTAAATGTGTTTTTCAAATCAAAATGCATAACAAATATCGGAAAATGTAACATTGCCTTTTCTGCCTAATATTGTGCTGAAATCATCGAGGTTGAAATGTTTAAAACTATAGGGGGAGTCCGCTCCATCCATGACACCGGACAGTGGACACCAAGGTGTAAAGGTTAGATACCCTGGATGCGCTCCAATGTAGGTAAATGTCGTCTTTATTGCAATGGAGACTAAATTCTCATATGATACTTTACTATATATAACAATCATCACATTAAAAAAATTGTGCTAACAAATTTGAAGCTAAAATATGCAATTTTTATTCAAGTTTTTAATTTTGGAGTTCGTTTATATTTAGTGAGCCGCAGCATTTATTATTCTTTAAAATAAGCAGTGTCGTCATATGAGGATTAGAGGGGTCATTGCTATAAAGGTCGCCTTTACCTTCATTGGAGCGCATCCAGAGTATTTAACCTTATTTAACAACCTGAACACCCACATTCTACAATATACACTGTACACGGTATACATCCTGTACAGGATTCTCCCAAAGGATGCGACTGGAATAACGACTTGAAGTTCTTAATTGCTATGACAATTCCAAAATTTAGTTGTCTATGCCTTGGATATAATAGTCTTTAATTGGCTTATTCAATGATTAATTAGCCAAGAAAAAAACAAGGTTACAGTTCATCATAATTATAAGGAAAAGACCGTATAAATTCCGTACATTCGTCTCATCTTTTGTTGGTAACTCTGTTCGAGAAAATAAATTTCAAAACGATTTCTTTAACAGAAACCGAACTTACATATTTTTATCTTCCGTATCGGTGGGGGTGGCATACCACCTGTTATGGCCGGATCTCCCCCCCCCCCCCCCCATGGAACGAACGGAATTTACTGTTAACGATGCCATTGCTACAAAAAAATAACGAACGATCAAAAATGAACGAATCTGCATACCCTGCCCTTTACCATTTTTAACAATTAACATCGTTAACGATACTTACCGTTTACCATGAACTACAGTAAACCGTTTCCTATCATTATTTCAAAGAATTCAGAATAGAAATGAATGGTTTGTAAAAGAACGAACGACCCCGCTGTCGGCTCTCATTAACGAACGATTCTAAAAGAAAAGACCGTACATACTCATAGCCATATCCAGTAAAGCTCCATATTTAGTTTATATCAAGGAGTATGATATAGAAGGGAGATACAACTGACGCGGCCCGCCCTACCATAAGATTATGCATGCTTTGCAGGCGGTACTCCATTATAATATAAGAAATATTCAGAATAGGTTATTGTACACGCGGTAATTGTACATTAGACAAATAATTCTTATACAAATGAAGTACCGTCCGCAAAGCATGTATATTGTATAATCATATGGTAATGATTCTTTTTCTTACTCCTAGGTTGATATCCCTGTATGAATCACTATGTTAATTTGTTAAATGTTTTTGTTAACAATCATCTCATCTAGGCGATCAGATTCTTAAAATACATTGTAGATATTTCATAAAAAATCGTATTGAAGGCAAAAAATGCAAAAAATGCTTCAATAACACCTTTTTAACTTATTCTCCTAGGAAGGATATTTTTCTTTTAAGAAGAAATTAGACATCTCTTAGGGCACAGAATTTCGCTGGCAAGGAAATAATCACTTCCAACAACATCGTATTATCTAAAAGTAAATATATTACATTTGAACACATGGTCTGAGATTTATTTAAGTTTACATAATTACAATGCCAAAATATAAGGGTATTTTTTCCACGGGAACAGAATAGTGAACAGTACACTACTTGGTTGAGAGTTGAGAACACAGTACATCATATTTTGGGCTGAGTACGGCACTGAGCAATTACATTCATATAAAAAGTGTACTTTTTGAACTTGAGAAAGCATCGAAATTTTAACGATTTTTCTTTGCTTGACTTAATCCAGTTAGTTGAGGTATTTTCTGCAGCTCTTTTCTCCACACAGACATCTGGAAAAATAACAATGGTAAATTAAATGCTTTGATTCATCAGAAATGAATGTTAACTAACTCTAAAAATTAATTACTTAAAAAAAATTTGACTTGCAACTGTTACAGAAACATTGAAGAAAAAATAAAATTGACAGAATTATACACTCATTAAGCTCGATCATCGACAATTTTGGTCAGATAAAGGTTTAAAGGGTAAATAGTGTTTCTCTTGGAATGGAGGACCACTTGAAATTATAATTTTGAATAAAATAAAGTGAATTACATGATTCCTATTAAAAGATAATTTTAATATAATTTCAAAAACTGCTACATTTCCAGATACACATGCTCTGATTAACAACGGACCCCAAGTTTAAACCTTTGTCTGAGTAAAATTTATGGAGATGTTTTAATCTTTTTGAGGATTCTCGATAAAAGTAGGAAATCGAAAGAATTTTTTGAAGATAAAAAATCGACTTTATATTCCCGATTTTCAAACATTCTTTATATTACAATACAGTGAGAACCAGTGGGAAAAGAGGACGATATTAAAACTTAAAGCAATAATTAAATGTATTTGATGTTAAAGCAAATAGTATTACTAGTAACTTATTAAAGCACTTGAAATGGGTCTGCAATCTGCTTATATTGTACAATTGCTGTTTCTTTTGTTCATTGGACTATCTAAAGATATAATTCTAGTCTAAAAGTCGTCTTCCTGATCCAGAGTTTACTGGTTATCAAGGTTGAAACATGAGAAAATAGTTCCGGTCAGTGATTTATGAATATTCTATTTACCTAATTTTTTCATCTTCAATAGGGAACTTGTAATCGTAAGTAATCTCCTCTCCTATGGCTATCGGTTGTTTGCTATAAATAACAATTTTGCTCTCTCCGTCAATCTTGATCACCTTGGCGTAGCAGTTCGGCTAAAATACACAGAATAAATAAACATTTAAAAAAAGGTTTTTTAAAGGGGGAGATTCAACCGTTAAAGACTGAAAAAGGGGGGGGGGAAGGAAAAATAAGTTTTTTATCTTTAAATAGGCTCAGTCCCCAAAGACACTCTTACACCTCAACAACTAACAAAAATTTGAATAAAAATATTAAAAACCTCATAACTGTGGTTAATGAACCGGGCTAACTCTAAAAATGACAATCCAAACCTCACAGCTTTGGTTTATGAACCGGACTATCGATAATAAATGACGAATGACGATCCCAATCTTGAACCGGGCTAAAAAAGAAAATCCCTACTGAAATGAAACCGGGCTAATATAAATAATGATTCCTACCTGTGAGTTAAGGAAATTAAATAAAATGATGATTTCTACCTCCCGCATCTGGTTTTATGAACCGGGCTAACATAAAGTTGAGATCCTTATGATCCTTACCTCGCAGCTGTGGTTAATGAACCGGGCCAGATTCCCTGCTTTGGTCGCATCCACCACATAGTCCAGATCAATACGGAATAAGTAGGACGAACCAATCCCCTAAACGTAAATTTTATAATATTAGATGAAGAACCCGTGGATTTAATGCATGTTTCACTGTGATTCAATTCAACGTCATATTTAAAACTTCAAACATCCAAAAATAAGCAAAACATGCGTAGGGAGCTAACAATTAAGAACATTTTTTGTTTTACGAATAATCTTTGTACAAAGTAATCCTTTAACTCTTCTACTGTCAAATTTTTAAGTGACAAAAATTCAAAGAGTAACACAAGTCAAATGAGTATATACTATACAGTTCTAAAAGTAAAATTGTCCTAATCACTCTACCTGTTTCTCATATCTCTTCTCCCTGATATCTGAGAGTAGAGGGCGGACTACTTCACCAACATATTCTATCACCATCTCGTCAGCTCCAATATTCTCCATTGCAAACAGACCCCAGTCATGGATAGCAGATTTACCTTCACAAATATTTATCATAAAAATAAAATCAATATTTTTTTGGCTGACAATAATTCAATTGTGAATAATTTAGTTCGAATCAAATCTTGAATTAAAAAAAAAACTCACACGACTTATTCAGGATTTTATTTTAACTTGAAGGCACTTGAAGATGAAGTGACTTTCCATTTAAAACGGAGTGGCATTTCCGATTTAGAATTGGTGCCATTTAAACCTTTATCTGAGCAACAATTAGATGAATGGCGTCCCTTTTCTATTTAAAAACGTGTTGAATTCTGACGAGTTACTTCATTGTTTCAGTAAAATTAATCCGCAAATCACTTAAACAGAGAAATCACAATTTAAAATAGTATACTTTGTAGAATAAGGATTGGACGTTTTGAAAATCTTCACAGATAAAGTCAAATAGGTCAAATAAAACCACATTTGGTAAATTTTAACAAAAAATATACTTAAAGTTTAACTCCAGACGTCCCCTGAATCCATGTTAAATCCTTAACTTACCGAATTTCATGGCTTTCCTCCTGAACTTGAGTTGATTGAACTTGAGAAGATCAGATTCTAAGAACTCGTCTCCAAGAGCGGTCAACATACGACGTTGTTGGGACCTCGCCTCACGGGATAAACTGATCGCTTTCTGCAATATAAAAATTTAAAAATATTTAAAAAAAAATAAATAAAAAAACTGTGGAACAGGATGAACAATGTAGTTGAAGGATCTCTAATAGATAAAAAAAGCCCATGTAAGTTTTTTTGAGATTCTGAGAGAGCTTATCAAGACGAACATTTTGCAATATGTCAGCACTTATTCATATGGCGACTTTTTCTGCAATTCACAGGCACGGTAATGTTTTATTGACATTTTTCAGCGCTTTAAATAGAAACATACTTTAAAAATTTTGAAAAATAAATTTAAAAAATAATTAAGTCTATTTGATGACAACGCAAGTAGTTTTACTTGTGACTTGGTAAATCACTTATTTCTATGTTCATTGCACTGTATAAACTTCAATCTAACAGTCGTCTTCCCATTCCAGACTTTTCTAGTTCCCATTGTACAAGATCGAAATTTTGAGAAGGAGAAGAGGGTATGCCATACATAAGTGATAAAAAATAAAAAAATAAATTACGGTAGACCTGTGGTTTTTGACTATTCCCGTGGCCGATTTTCGCCGTGTTGAAAGCGTCCACACCCGGCCGATGGAAATGATATTTTGTTCTAAATTTTTCTCTGGGATCCATCTTGTAGTACCCTTCAGTCCTAAATAAATAATCGTTCAAAGCTTTGTTCCTTTTAATAAAATTAGAAAAGAATATTTGATATGATCTTGTGCGATTTAATAAAAACCGAAAAAATTTTAAAATCTTTTACACAAAGGCCTCAATTGGATAGTAGTTTTGTAAAACAAAATTATAAGGGGGAAAACGATTTTTTTCGCCCTTTTACCATATTTTTGAAAGCTTTTTACCCAAAAGTCTGATTCAAAGACAAGCTATGTGTTTTAAATAGATACCTGTTAGTCAAGAATCTCATTACTAACCTATTTTCCCATATTTTATCATATTTTTCCACTTTGTCAGTAGTTTTCACATTTTCTTGATTCATGGATTCAGTTTCATCAAAAAATAAAGAACTTTCGAACATTGCCTTATTTGAATCATTAAGCAGTCGCTCAATCAATCACATAATCAATCAATCAATCAAGATATCAATGTGAAAAATATTCAGTGGAAAAATATGATAAAATATGGGAAAAGTGATCTGAAAAACCTTAAACTTTGTTCAGATGTTCGTAATAAGATTCCTAGCTTGTCTTTCAATCAAACTTTTTTGGTAAAAAAGTCTTAAACACATAGAAGGGTGAAAAAAGAGTGAAAAAATATTTTCCCCCTTTTTATTTTGTTTTTCAAAAATTCTATCCAATTGAGGCCTGTGTGTAAAAGATTTTTTAATTTTCAATGAAAAATGAATTCATAAATCCAAAAAATGTGAAAAATATTATCAAAGTGGGTAAATATGATAAAATATGGGGAAAATTTATCTGAAAAACCTTAAACTTCGTTCAGATGTTAGTAATGAGATTCTTGACTAACAGGTATCTGTTTAAAACAACTAGCTTGTCTTTCAATCAGACTTTTTTGGTAAAAAAGTTTTAAAAACATGGTAAAATGGGGAAAAGTGTGGGAAAAAATTTGTTCCCACCTTTTTTTAAATTTTATTCAAATGATGCCCATTACCGGTACCCATATGCAAAATTTCTTTCAGATTCCTTAAAAAAATGAAGACAGGATTCCCAAATGTATTCAAATTGGTCAAACTCACCCTCTCCTTTATATATAAAATAGTAATCTCTGTTTGTTTGTTTACATGCTCGATCATAACTCATAAACCCCTGACCGATTTGTCTCAAATTTTGATTGGGAAACTCGGGAATGTTCTTATCTTGATTTAAAGGTTCTAAGTTGAGTGGGTTTTCTCTCATAGAGAAAGTTTAGTTCTCAGACAAAGTTGGGGTTCAAACTTCCAAGCTAGTTTGATATAAATCATAAGTAAGAGGAGAAAGATAAGTAAGAGGAGGGGAAAGTAAGATAAGTAAGAGGAGAGGGGGGGTGTTAAGAATAATCGGAAACCAAGATCACAAACTCTGAAGATTGATCGATCTCTCACCTAGCACTCCCTGTTGTGTGAGGTTTAGAGAAATCCTCTATCCTTCTTTTCTTCTTTGGAGGATCAGGGATTAAGGTGATGGGATGATCCACCCAATGAGTGTCATTGATCCAGGTCAGGTTGGGTTGGTTCAGTCCTTCATTCAGCATCTAGAACATTCAGGGATATAAAATGTTCAAGAGTTACCCGAGGAATAAAATATGAAAAGTTGAAGATCAACGGGCCTTTTAAAACTTTTTACAAAAAAAATCATTAATTTTACCATAAAAATTACTTATTTCCCTAAAATTAATAACAAAAAATGTATATGCTATTTTGGATTTTTTATTACCACGACCAGTCTTAAGATGGTCCTGAACCATACCCTTTGTATTAAAAAAAGTTCCTCTCCGAAAAATTCTTAATTAATATTTCTAAAGTTAAGAAACAAGATGATTTTCAGAAGTAAGAGTGCTAGTCCAAAAAAAAGACTTAAGGGGAACGCCCCCCCCCCCCCCGTAATTAGGGTTAAGATAAATAGGTCACGAGAGGGTTGATATCTTTCAGAAGGAAGGAGTGGAGGGGCGGCTCCACAGCACGCTTAATAATAAACTAACAAAAATTAAAAAGATTAATTACCATCTCGTAACTACGCTTGAGATACATAACATCCTCTAGATCTACTCCGTCTGTCAGAAACTTATAAAGAATCTTAAACTTCTCAGCCATATCCTTCGCTTTAAACTTCACAGGTTGGATCGGCAAGCTCTTTTTAATAGCAACAGAACGCTCCTTCGGCGGTTGAACAGGCTTAGGCGGGGCGGCTCTCGGCGGTGTCCTGGGTTTAGTGTAGTCATGGTCGAAACCGCCGCCGCCACCATCCTGTGAGGAAACGGTATCCCGTCGTGGTTTTGAAGGGGCGGGTCGGGCGTAGCAATGATCCATGATGTGAGGAGGAGAGGATTCGATGTGGCGGATTTTAACCGGTGTTGAAGGACCCTGAGTACTAAGAGCGACCAGCGCCTCGGCAGCTGTGACAGCGGAGCTAGTTCCACGACCCGGAGTAGATACTTCATTCAAGATTTCAACCTCACTTCCTGTATCTGTATCACTCTGATCAGGCACTGAAAAACAATATTGTAAAAATATTGAAAAACAATATTACTTATCTCAGGTTTTTTGATTTTGGTTTGTTAATATTACAGGGGTGTGCTGTATATTATTTGTTTCCCCGTAGGATTAAGAAACAGGAAAGAAAACTAGTTATCAAGATCAAACGGCGGAAAAAATTTACATTCAAAACGTTTATTCCTTTTCTTCTCCGCCCCTGCCCCACTAATCAGCTTTAGCTTTATACACATTTTTTGGCGATTCTCGCTTCAAGTATTTCAAAAATATTTAATTTTAAAGGACAAAATGATTTTCTGGAAAATCTTTAAAAATCTATCTAATTAGGAAAAGAAATTATGGAAGAGAAATCAAATCTTAGTTTTAATATTAAGAAGAATTAACAACCCTGTACTTTTCAGAGATTTTCTTTAAAGGCAATAATGAGGCCGAAAGGGCAAATTTAAAGAATTTGAACCGCGGCCTAAATTTGAGACGCGGATCAAATATGGTTGGTTCCACTTTTAAATTGTATTCAATGTTTCAACATTTAAGCCGGCGCTTAATTGACACCGGTTTTAGGCCGGCTCAAAATCATTAAATTCGGACTCTGTAAACGTAATTTCAATTGACCCTTTACTGGTATGTCCGATTCACAACGGTACTCCATTGAGAATCAAGAATTAATTAGATACGCATGATTTTGTTTTTGAACATTTTCGTTTTTATTCGTGATTTCTCCGCAAAATTTAGTTGGACATTTCTTGCTTCCGAAACAATATTATCCGAATTTCAAGTGGAGCATTGTGAATCGGGCATGCCCTGCTTTTGTTTTTGTTAATAAATGGAGGGCCATTTAAAATTACGACGAAGGAGAAAAATATATTTACTATTGTATAAGACAACAAAAAGCAGAACTTACTACTTTCAATTTTATAAGATTATTGAATTTGTTACCGTCTATAACTGTTGGTTTGGGAGCAGCTCTGGTGTCTGGTGTAGGTGGTCTAGAAGGTATAGGACTAGAAGATACAGAACCAGAATCAAGGACAATAGCTTTCTCAGGTTCAGCTTTTAGGGGGGTTGATTCCGGAGTGGTTGGGACGGACGGAGACGGAGATTTACTCCGGGAGGCAGATTTACTTCGAGATTTGACAAGGATTGGCGACTTGGGTCGCTCAGAGGAAACAGAACGCGATCTTGATTTAGACTTGACACTCACAACATCTGAGTCACTGCTAGACTCACTCCCACTCTCACTATCACTACTTGACGAGCTAGAACTATCACTAGCCTCACTAGAATCTTCCTCCGATGACTCTATGTCTGAGCTTTCACTCTCCTCGCTTTCTTTCTTCTTTTCCCGGTCACTTTCACTCTCACTGTATATTGCATTGTATATTGTGGACGAGGAAGACTTTTTCTTAATCTCGGTTTTTTCTTTTTCCTCCTCTTTCTCTTTATGTTTGTCTTTCTTTTTCTTATCACTTTTATCCATAGGTCCTTCAAGTTTGCTTTCTTTCGATTTATCGGATTTCTCCCGTTTCTCGTTTTTCTCAAGTTTATCATGCTTATCAGGTACACCAGATTTCTTCTCAATCCTCTTAGAAAACTTAGGAATAGATCCTCGGAATCCTAGACCCAGGCTCCCGCCGGCACCGAAGGTTGAAGCCCCGGACTCTCGCTGCATCTCAATAAGGTTGCTGAGATCTTCAGGTTTAGGGATCCGAGGTAACGCTTCAACCTTAAATTAAAATGTTATGAATTTCAAAAATAATTATTTTATATTTTAAGAATTAATTGAAGATAGCTTTCCAAAGATTTGGCGGAAAATTAAAAAATTCGTGTGTTTCGATACTTTAAAACCAAAATTCTTTTGTTTTCTATTTAAATTCTTAAATTATTATTTTTTAAAACGATTAAAACATATTTTAAAGTAAAAAAGTCTTAAAAGTTAAAAAAAAAAACCTTCTCTCGATCTGGGAGGAGGGCTGTTGTTCCCGAGGTTCCTGCTTTCTTCTTAAACTCCAACTCCTGTTCACGTTTGTACTTAGTCTCCTGTTCAGTCCACCACTTGTCGAACAGCAAGAAAGCATAGGACTCGCACAGTTTCTTGTTAATGTCCTTGTTTAGGATAGATTTAAGCTCGGACTCGACCACCTTCATTACACTGTCCATGATGGACTTGAGCATGTCCTTCCGTCCCTTCTTCCTAATTCCAGGCACTGCCTCCTGTAGCGAAATATTCAATATCAGAACTGAAATGGGTCTTGGGTTTCAGGTGTGTCTTAAGAAAAATTGTTTTTCCATTAATATTTGGGGGTAAAATGAAATTAATGTCAGGAAATTTTTAAAATGAAGATGAAAGATGAAAATTTGTTTATGTAAATAAAAACTTTTGAAAGTGTAAAATGTTAAAAATATTGAAAGTTTCCTGCTCTGTCTCTTCCATCTGCTCGTCGTATCTCTGATTATTCTCATATCCATACTCATTTCCTCCTCCCCAACCCTACACAATGTATGTTTTATACATTAAAATAATAAGTAAACCTTATAAACATTAAGGTTTAATCTGGACCCGGATAAGTGATATAAAAAATGAATCATGTCCTGGGCGCAGATACAACTCTTCAATATCTGAGATTCTTCAAATCAGAGTTATTTCTTAAATCCTCAGTATATTTCCTTACTTTATTGCTCTTTTCTAGTATTATTTTCTGTCGAACTTCAATTGACTATTTCTTTTCAAATCGTGTTTTCTATTGCTTTCAATTCAACATTTGAGATTTGTGCTAATTTTAATTTAGTATTTTTCCTACATATGTTAATTTTGATTCGTGCAGATTTGATTTTTAACCTATCTTAGTTGTATCAAGTTTAAATTTGAATCTTATTCTTCAAATGCCTGATTAAATTAACCTACAGGCTTAATTGTGGACTGTAGATTTCTACATGAAAAAAACGATTAAAAATGTGCGCGATTTATCGCATTCTGAATAAATTCACGATATCTGCAAATCTTTATCAGATAAAGTTAAGGGGGTGGGGGGGGGGGTGATTTTTGACGTAAATAAACACCCCGGTTTATCGTTTTACATGAAGCTGGTTTATACCTGGGCATATTCCCCCGGGTCCCAGGATTGGTAGGGTTGAGGGAAGTGTCCCTGCCAGTATCCAGGAGCACCAAGAAACCCCTGACCTGCGCCAGGACGGAGGAAATCATGTTGACCCATCTCATGATCAGATATTGGAGACATTCCCTCAATATCCTGGATACCTAGATAAAATCAACAATAATTAGTAAAAAACACAAAGATACAAAGGATGAAACGAGTATGCATTTTCTAAAGCATATCTATTAATTTGGGCAGAAGACTGGTATATGGAGTTTAACGTTAAAAAGTGCAAAGTTATGCATGTCGGTAGGAGCAACCAACATTGTGAATACATTATGGCAGGATCGGTACTACAGAGGGTAAACAAAGAAAGAGACATAGGAGTGGTAGTAAACCCTTAAACCCTCTCTGCAATGTGCAGAGCTTCAAGGAGGGTATCTACAGTTCTAAGACAAATTACCAGGACATTTCTGTACCGGGACAGAACCACCTTTGTGAGGTTGTCCGCTGCCACTTAGAGTTTACGGTCTCGGCCAGGTCACCCTGGACTGGACAGGATCTATTGAAATATTTGAGAAGGTTAAGCGCACGGTGCTCAACATGATCACTGGTTTAAATGACAAGACTTACGAGGAAAAGCTTGATGTATTAGGTTTATTGCCACTAAAGGACAAACGAACCAAACTAGACCTGATCCAAACCTACAAAATTATGAAGGGAATAGACAGAGTAGATCAGTAGGGTTGAAGTTGACGATACTAAGTTAACCAGACATATAGCATATCACGACAATCTGATACCAAAAAGATCACCAACAGATGTCAAGAAAAACTTTTTCTCTAATCGCGTTGTTCCTAAACGGAATAAACTTTCAGTAGAAGTAAAAGAGGCAAGAACTTTAAACACATTTTGGACCCTGCTGGACTCTATTGACATTGGGCAACTGTAAAATGTACTTATAATTGATCTGTGCAAGGAGTATTTGAGTATGGAGAGCACTGAGGAGCCCAACCAGGAAGACTGATCAATACTCCGTGACGATCCTAAAGACATCCTCGCCTATGTTCCTACCGGAGCTCTGAGGATAACTCTTCGAGTAACAAGTAAGTAACAAGAGATTAAAAAAATTACCTTTATTAAATGGTTGAATGTTTGGTAGGCTGAGGTTGACCCTATCTAGGTCCTCCTGTTCCAAGGTTAATGAATGACTAGCCATGTACTGCTCTCTGTACATAAACATATATTACTAGGGTTCTGTATATTAACCACACAAATGTATGTATCCATTTCACCCCCCTAATTTTGCAATTTATCTGAAGGAATCCGAATTTGTAAAATGCAAGCAAAATTTACTGAACTAAAACGTTATATATGCCATTAAAGTTGTTCAAGTGTAAAGAATTGATAACTGCATGACGCATGTCCTAAGCGCACTTTTGAGATTTTTAACACTTTTGAACTGAAAAATGTACGATTATTTTTAAATTGCAGATAAATATTTCTTAAACCTCTAATTTCGTCAGTCAAAACTTTTGATTTCTTAACAAAACTTTTATACATAAAGAAACAGCTAGAAAATAATTTTTTATTCATGGGGGGATGATTTTAGATGCTCTGGTGTAAACATGAAAAATTATACAAACATCATCCTTTTTTTTTAACCCAAAAATCGTTTATTTTCTCCAATTCCGCTTTAAGTCTATATTGTTCTGCAATTACATATATAACTTCTGGGGAAAAAAATAGTTTTAAAAGGGAAATTTAAAATAATTCTTCTTGAAAATATACAGTATACACCTCTTATATTCGAATTGAGATCCTTAAAATGTCTAGAAATGAAGAAAAAGATTGGTAAAATATCATTAGACTAGAAAACCAAAATAAGTAAAATATGTATGTTTGCCTTGTAAGAAATGGCGATGGGGTGCGAGAAAGAGGTCCAGGGCGGGGCGGAGGAAACGATTCCTGCTCCGCCTCTGAGCTCTCACTACCAAGCAGGAAGGCAGGCATATTCGCCGTCTTACCCTTCATCAACATTTGCAGTCTAGTGTCCAGGTCTATAGATCTCTCCTCTTCAAATTTCTGTTCTGCCTCCTCCACTGGAGGCGCAAGCGAGGCGGATATCGGAGGCGGAAGTAAGGGTAAGGCCGAATTGAGAGGAGGTAGTGAGGTTGATTTCTCTGGGTCGGGAAAAAGATCTTGGGAATCGTTAAATCTTGAGTCCGTGTCAGGGAATCGCCTCGACCACTGCGATTCTGAATCTTCGTCGTCCCGCCGCGGTTCGTCGTCCGGATGTTTCTGTCCGCGCCAGCCTCGGTCCTGCCGCCGACCCCTGGCCTGATCTCGTTCAGGACCACGATTTCGTCCACGCCGGTCATGCCAGGAGTTAGAGTTCTCGTAAGAAGTCCTGGAATCCCTGAAAATTAATAAAAATTGAGTTACAATCCAAGATTTTTCTGCAACCCCATCTAGAGACGACCAAACCCCAAAAAGCCAGAGCTTGAGTCTAATTAAATTAGTCATCAATGTAAGAATGAGTAGAAAACTATATTTAAAAAATCAACACTACTCTCTACGTTCAGACTTACATATATCTATCTCTATGTGAATATGATTTTCCGTGTCTGGAATCATCATAAGCCGGATGCTCCCAGGCATCCCTTGCGTCCTCTTCATCCCATCCAGGATGACGGGCATCATCATTATCCCAAGCATTACGTCTCCAACCTTCCTCCTCACGTCCTGCGTCCTCCCTCCAACTCTTTCCACGGCTCCAGTCCTGGTCCCAGGACGCATTCTCCTGCTCCCAGTTAGTTTCCTGAACAGATAGAAAAATGTTAAAATTTTGCGTTGATAAAATTTAAACACAAATAAGGAGACTGAGAAATATCCCAACCATCAAAATCAATTAAAAAAACGCAATAATTTTTTTTTAGATAATTGATAAAAAGAGGGTCATTAGGGTCACTTGGATTACAGAACATCCAAGAATGACCTACCCCCCACACAAAAAATAATAATTTTGAATTACACCAGTCATCAATGGGATGGCTAACGAACTGATAAGAATTCTCTGTTTAAATAAATACTCTGTTTAGATAAAAATAGAGGAAAATATTATAAAAATTTAACCCAAGTGTGGCGGGCGAATAATTTAAGATTTTATATAACCTTTTGTTAACCCTTTTCACTCAAAAACTATATAATATTATAATTTTTTATATAATTTTAGATATTTATTTCAGCGGGAGAGGATACCCTTTTTATTAAAATATACACTCAGGGGAAGATGGAGACTAACCTCAGGTTGTGCTGGAGGATCATCATGTTGCGGTTCAGGTGGTGGAGGGGTTGGTTCCTTGATACGTGTCAACTCATCAAACATCTTAGCACATGCCATCCCTTTAATTGTATTTAAATAATTATTTTATGACAACATTTAAGCACTGTGCTGGAAACTTATAAATCAACAAAAGATTAAACTTTAACGAGTTTGTTCAAAAGTTTCCACAACAATAAAATCGAATGTTCCTCGAGGCTTTCAGCTAAAAGAAAGATAGTGATTTACTTTCGAATTTTATCGATCCTCGATTCAGATTGTTAACCTACGGTCCCGTTTTCATCAAAACCCGAGTTAAGTTCGAATCAAATTAGAAAAACTGAAATTAGAAATTAGAATAAGATAATTCGTGTGTTTCGATACTTTAAAACC